AAGCATTGACAAATTCATGAATGACGACGAAAGTGCATCAAATTTTGCCGCTCGCTTGCCCCCGAATGACGTCGTTTTGTGCCCATCAACTATTTTAGGCTGACTATACCTTTTTTTTTTTGGTTCTAAGAATAAATTTTGTGCGATTACGATCGAATCGGTTTATAAGAAAGAACGAAGAAGAATCAGTTCAGAGAGCAATTGGGAATCAAACCAATTCTCTCAATCTCTCACTGTTTCATATTGGAGAAGACGAAGTCGGGTGGGGATTTCATTTGTTTAATAGCATTGCACGTGTGACTCACGTGTGAACAATTAAAAACCCTTCCTCGAGACCCTCTTTCTCAATCAGAAGCTTTTAGATACCCTTCTTTTTTCTTTTCTTTTTGGTAAAATGTTAATAGATACCCTCTTCTTCTTCATCTGATTGCATCATCTTCTTTTAGCTTACCATCCAACAAAATTGGTTGTAAACTATTTTGTGTACAAAATAAAATGCTATCATTTAATTGGAAGTAGTGTAGTGAAAAAAAAAAAGAACAAGAAAACATAAGATTGGAGTAATTTTGTTGAATTTGTGCATTCTACGTTATTCTTTTTTTAACAAAATGCAGAACCGCTGGTTTTCTGATGGTTGTGCTTCCGGCCTGCAACCGCTGCCTCCCACTGCTGGTGGTAGTATCTCGCCGCCTCCTCCTATTCCCNCTGACCCCCCTGACCCTTCCTTGCCTTTATCACTCTCCCATTTTCCTCCTTTGATTCCTACTGCGCTTCCTCCAACTATGAATTCTTCTCTGCAAACTGCTCCTTCAAAGGAGCCTGCAGTGTCTTCTCCAGTTGAGGTTAGTGCGTCCCTTACTACTGATGTGGTCATGATGGATTCTATTTCCAGTTCACCTATCTTGGCATCAGATCTGAAAACTAACTTGGTCCCTAAAAANACTGTTCCGGCTAACTACACTGTGGTTCAACCGAAAGCTTCCTCTCCTCTCTTTACTAACTCAGCCTCCTCAACACCTTCCTCACCTACTTCTCAACCTAATCCCACGTCTTCAAATGTTGATAAGATTGGCTCTTCCAATCTACAGCCGCAAAACACTATTCACCAAAACCCTAATCCTGCTACAGTTCCCAAAACTGCTACAGCTCACAAAAATTTGGTTGAAAAGCTAAGGTTTACTTCAGATAAGACCCTCAAAAGATTGGCTCCTGTAACCATTNNTGCTTCAGGAAGACCACATGTTGTAATACCTGATGAGGTATTCCAAAGAGGGGCTGACCTCCATAAAGACTTCATTGTTTGCTACTTNTGTGGCAGAGCTCCGCCCTACAAACAAATTNAAAGTGTTCTGAATCACATGTGGGGCAAAGGAAGGAAACTAGAAATACACATTAATCAGTTTATGAATTCAATGCTGGTAAGGATTCCTAATGATTACATCAGGCAAAAAATATTGGAGAAACGTATCTGGTATATTGGAGACTCAATGTTCCATGCTGCTCAATGGGCTTCCCACCACTCTACNGATACTCCNGCTATGGCCTCTTTTCCAATCTGGGCTCATCTGAAAGGAGTTCCANTTGATCTGAGATCCTTAGAAGGGTNGAGCTNGGTTGCTGGCCTCATTGGAGAACCAAAAGAAACGGATGAATTCACTATTAACCTTACCAGCCTTCATCTTGCTCATGTCAAGGTTGAAGTGGATCTCACTAAACCCCTTCNTGANGTTATTGAGCTTGGCAGAGCAGATGGTCAAGTCATTTTGGTTGATGTTGCTTACCCATGGATTCCCCCTACATGCTCCCACTGCAAAGAACTTGGCCATGTTGTTAGGAACTGTCTGAGACTTCCTCCTTCAG